CTATTGATGTTTTCTCGCAATAATATTATAATATGCTTTGTAGGTGTATTTTTTTCAGTCCCAATACTGTAGAAACAAAATCGAAACAATTTAAATTTTAAATGCTGAGTCACTATTTCACGAAGGCCAAAAACTATTGCACTTGAATTATATTTTATAAACGGTTGAATTAAAATGTTTCGTGTTGACCGCGCGCGCTTGCAATGAATCGCAAAAATTGCAAGCCAATATAATTCCCTGCATGGGTCCAGCAATTTAAATTAATTTATAAACGTGCAAATGTATGGCAATAGATCAATTTTACTCCGTTACTTCTCTACTCTAAAAATGCATTCAATTATGCATTAAAACTACGACAAGCGATAATAATGTCGTGTCATGACATATTAATTGAAATCAAAACATCATAATGAATATATAAAATAATCATCTCGAAAGTCACTGATTTGGTAAGATTTTCGTCAACCGTAAATATTCTTTATCAGTCGTCACATTACACAAGTCTTGCATACAAAGTTGTGTAAAATATTTTCGTCAACGCGGAAAAATGGCTGATGTATAGAACGCGTGCGAAATGGCATCTATGGTCGGGATAGAAATAAAACATCGTCGCCGAATCCGCGGAGGAGTCCCGCGCGTATAATAAATAATGTTCGTCTGTATATACCGGACCCGCTTTTTGCTCTCCGACCGCTAATTAAAATGTTTAATTAACTTAACCGCGGTTATAGTTTCGACGTGCGTGGAAGACCGTTAGCTCACGCGTTGAAATGGTCTTCGGACGAGGAGAGCGGAGGGTTCGGGCCCAGGGCGTCGTTTGTGGTGTTCGGCGGCAGTAGCGGCGGCGGCGGCAGTGGACGAGGAAAATGGTCGAAACAGCGTACTTTGCTGTTGGATGACTACAACGGTGGCCTGTACGACAACACGTAGCAAGCAGCTTCTCAAAGTCACCAACGTGACAGAACAGGACGCCGGGGCTTACAGGTGCCGAGTAGATTTCCGCGATTCGCCTACCCGGAACTATCGAATAATCCTGAGAGTCATAGGTCAGTAGAATATATTTATTATTTTTTATGTAGATTCACATTATTATTAGTGCGTGCGAAGGCTTCGACTAGGTAGGGTTAGGTTAGGTTTGCCCTTTTAGGTGTTCACGTCCCCATTGTTTCTGAACAAAAGTTTACCGGAAAACGTAATTTCTGCACTTTATTCCAGATCTCACGCCCCTATTATATAATATTCTTATTTCTTACATCAGAATCAATAAGAATTTCGTTTATATACTTAGAATTCGTATAAATAATAATTATCAATTAGTTTAATTTAATTTATACGAAATCGGATTAGGCAACTCATAATAATTAATATAAAAAATAATATTCATACAAATACTAATTTATAGTAATAATACTAATAACTATAAAGGTAATACGAGATATTAATTTCTCAATATAAATTGATTTCTTTTTCTTTTTTTTTCTACTGATAGGTACCTAAATAATATAATTGTATAATTTATAAACAACGAATTATTTTGACACGAGTCACTCATTAGTTTACTCAGATAACTTTTGTGCTACCTGTGTTGGAGAAAAAAGTTTATTTATAACTAATTTTAAGGTCCGTTACATTTAAGTACAGTGCCGGTCCGTTGAATTTTGGGGCCCAGTCAGAATTTAACGGGCCCTATATTATTTTATAAATTGGTAGAAGTTTGTATAAGATATGTTGTTTAAAAAATTTACATGGATTTCGTTTGCAAAGCCATTTGGTAATATTTTAAGGTCTAGTAAGAAATCTAAATTTTAATATAACCAAATAAAAATCGATAACAACAAAAAATATAAACAATATTTTAAATATTACCTAAGCATAAAATTAACATAAATATTATACTTAAATCGTTTATTTCTTGTTTTTTTTTCGCTGGAAATGTATCAATTGTTTCATCATAGAATCTGCAATATTACCTATGTTCAATATTTATGAGGGCCTGTTGGTCGGAGAACTTATGCTAGGAATTAGGATGGAATGCTTTTTGAATATTTTTTTTTTCATTTTAATTTGGAAATTAAAACACCAGGCGCCACCAGCTGATATCACTGGATTATTGGTAGGTATAGTGAGCATTATTCTACTAGCTACTGTACTGGAAAAGGAGTTAAAAATATTTTTCAAACATGTCAAAGCCCTGTTATGGCTTTAGGTGTTATATTGATGTGTTGTCTTCTATTATATTTTGAAAAATTTGAAGTTTTGTGAACAAATCTTCCCAATCTATATCCTTTGAATCACCTTCACTTAATATGTTTTGTAAATCACGAGAACAATTTTCCATTTGGTACATTTTTACAATACCTTGTCAAATTATAAATCAGAAATGTGAAATTTGGTTAAAAGGTCTGTACGGTTCTGGTTCACCGCTCGTCCACCCCTCCCTAGAATTATCACACAATATACGAATTTATAACAAAATAGTAAAATACATTAACTCAATTTTTCTGGATATTTTCGAAAATAATATAATAACATAATATTTAGGTACAGGATGTCCCACGAGAATTTACCCATTACGATATATCCTGAGATAATAAATAATATATCATAAATCTGTTTTTTTTTTATTAGACTCACAAAGACAAGGACTTAACATAATATTTTATTTTTTAATTTAATTATATTTTTTGGTAAAAAGTAAAAAGTAAAAAATTATTTTTTATTTTTGAAACAATTGAAGATAGCCATTTTATAGAATTTATTTTTGTGAAAACTTTGACTTTTCAACATTTCATTTTCATTAATCTCATAATTTTTAATGTTTTTTTTAGTATGTAGGTATAACAGCAAAAAAACCAATTTTTGTCCGGGCGATGAGTCCCCCTCAACGCTAATGGGTATATCGTCACGGGATACCCTCTATAGGACAAACATTTTGAATATTATTTATACCATCGATAGTAATAATTACCGTTATTATACTATACACTCTAGTTTACGAGGTGGAAACTGAATTATACATAATATATTATACACATTAATCATTTTTTTCAAAATTCCCATAAAAACAAACATTTTTAACCTTATTAAGAGGATGCTACACCCACGTGTGTTGTCTCCGTCTTACAAATGTACAACATAGAAAAAACTGTTTTGAGCGGGAAAGAAACGAGAAGGCTACAATCATAACTAAGAAACGTAATTTTCACCACATAAAAAGGAGAACTTTGGCTATGCAACGTTGTTTTTATTTTTTTGATATCACTTACATGAAAAAAGTTCTTAATGTTTCAAAAACCATTATTGTTTGTGTTTTTCAAACTTTTTTCATATGAATGATATCAAAAAAATAAAAACAACGTTGCACAGCCAAAGTCCTCCTTTTTATGTGGTGAAAATCATGTTTCTTAGTTATGATTGTAGCCTACTCGTTACTTTCCGGCTCAAAACAGTTTTTGCTATGTTTTAAATTTGTAAGACCGTTTACAAAACCTAAACCGAAACCATAGAATTTAAAAACCTAACCGATTGAAATTTTACACTAACATAGGTTTCTTCAAATTGTATAAAGTTAATTACCTGTATTATTTATAATTCTAGTTAAAACAAGTATTTCTATACGAACAAAATATTTTCTTTGAATCCCGATCATATTACTGAGTATTACGAAATATTAATAGGTAATACGAATATTATTCTATTTATATTTTATAAAATTAATACTATACTTATTGTTCAAAATTAAAAAAAGAATATCACAATTTATTGTTATTTTGTTCGCTCATATGCGGTTATGCACGTACGTACTGTTGTTATATTTTGAAGTAATTGTGTATATTATTATTTATTAATGTTATTACGAATTTGTTCTGTATTCGAATGATCCGAGTCCGTGCCGCAGTCATCAATTTCTTATGTCATTGTCATCAGTCTCCTCAGTGTGTCCCCTGAATTACAAATGTGTGTACCAAATCTTATAACGTGTATCTGAATCTTAACAGTAAACCTTTTTAAATAACAATATTTTCAATAGTCCAATACACTTTTTTTAGTACCCATTTAAATTAATATTTTGTTCAAATATCATAAGCTATAAGCATTAATGACACAAAAAGAGATTTATTATACTGTAATATTATAGTGTGATGTTATTGTAAATTACAATTAAATATTAATGTAATCGAATAATGATCTCAACCATAAAATGTTGTGTACAAAAGTAACAACATATTAAAGTTAACAACAAGAAAGTAGTTCTGCTGAGCCTAAATTTGCTATACCTATTATTGTACCTACACTATAATTGTATAAATCGGAAATATTTTAGGGCTTTAAGCTCAGCCCTTAATAGTTAATAGATAATAAAAATCGTGTCTACAATATTATTAGGTAGGCAAAGGGAAAAAAATCAACATTTTTAAAAACCGTTCTTGATACCGATAACTTTGAAAAACTTTTTGTGAAACCGAAATCGAAACCAAAAAGTTTTAAAACTTAAACCAAAACAAGAAAATGTAGAAAATCGTTCTCAGAAAAAGAAACCGTTACCGTTAATTTGAAACGGTTTCGATCCCTGATTCCTTGATTCTATACACTTCTCTTACCTAAACTTTAAATGTACATAAATAATATGTTAATGGTTCAGTAATCGATAATATTGTATGTTATGAATATGTTTGTAGAATCAATTCGTTTAAGAATATTAAAACATAAATATACATAGTTAGTGTAGTTAATAGGTATCGACGTTTTAAACAATGTATAATTCTTAAAAGTATCAAGATTAAAGATATTATTTTTTAACACATATTTACATTTATAATACTAATTCAAATAATCTATTATGTAGGTAACTATACTTACATTTATTTGTTAAATAACCACTGACATCATAATACTGTACTTATATCGAACACCTGTACATTAATCTTTAAGTTGAACATCAAAAACCTGTGACTGATTAATTTTAATTGTATGTCCATTATATAGTACCTCCTGATAAAATGACAATCGCTTATAACGGAATAGGAACGGAAATTGACGGCGGATTGCATCACACCATCGGTCCAGTGCCGGAAGGCGGCCGATTGGTATTGGAGTGCCGAGTTCAAGGAGGTGAGCATTACAATTTATTCTTATGATAATGATAGGTACTTCATAAACAATAGGGTCGATGCATTATAGACTATAGTGCTTCGGTATACAGGGAGTATTAACTACCGATTGAACGGCTATAATAATAATAATTAACAGTTAATATTATGTACAAGTGTTAGTCTGATATAAACGATGAATGTTTTGACTAACAAAGATATGATTTTGAGTGTTTTAAGACTATCATGCAGGTAGCCATGACATGAAAAATGGGCAGTAGGTACGTCATACCTAGTCAATGTTTTTAATTTTATCCGCAAAAATAAGGTTAAAATTACCGAAGTCCCATTTTTATCAAAGTGTTTTTTTTTTATTTAATTTCATTTCTATAAAATATAACAACACCGATAAAACCATATATTTTAATATGGACTGATATTTATGCTGTATTTAAAACATAATATGAAAACATTGTTAGTTACTTCAAACAAGGGTGATGAAATATTGAAACGAAAACTAAGGAGGAATAGATTATTCTATAGGTTAATTAAATTAACATAATAATAACGAATAATCAAACTAATATATGGAGTCTGCAAATAATATTAATATATCCTTTCGTATAAAGACTGAATACTGATCGTGTACCTATAGTGGTAACGCGATAGACGCACATGCCCTAAGAATTATTGCTGTACAATTTACGTACGTCAATGTACGTTTATGTAAGTCTGTTTCAGCATGTTCAACGTTGTTTTAAGAATACGATTTTTCGATTGATTATGGCATAAAAAAAAAATGGTTGATATGTCGGTTTGTTGACGAATTATTATTGTATACGCTTTGTTCGTTTACGATGTGAACCATCGATAATATACCTATATTTCTCCTCCACGCCCACCCCCTTTGCAAATGAGAAATCGCCGTATTTACTATATTTAAATATGTTGTAATGTTGTATTATACAGTAGGTGCACGATATGTAGAATGTAGATTACATGACAGTTTAATGATGGGACATATTGTAATGAGCCCGATTTGTATACGCCTTAATGTCGATTCATTGAATGTGTGATGTATATACACACATAACACATATATATCTAATACAAATAACGATTTATTTACGTAATTCGATTTCATTTGTATGGATGAGCGTTCGGTAGGTACACAAGCACTTACACCTTTTTTTTTTAATGTGCCCGGAAATCGAATTCAATGGGCTTTTGTCAAATCCACCCCCCCCCCCCCCCCCCCCCCCATCCCCATCTCAAAATCATCTATAGTAGCGAACTGACGTGTTGTACAGGGAAACCCAAGCCACGGGTGCAATGGTATTCCGCGGACGGCAAAGTCACCTCTTCGCTCGGTACCGGAACAGTCGTGGATCTGGCAGAAGAAGTATCTTACGGAAACGAAAACTACGGCGAAGAAACAACAACCAAAAGTCTTGTAATTCATCAATTGAATCGAAGTCATGCTAATAGTACATACACGTGTCTGGCTGGAAACGACGACAACACCATGCAATCGAATCTCCGAATGACAGTGCTGATAAACATGTACCGTAAGTATTTCATATACAGCTTATATAGCCGCAACCAACGAATGTCATAGGTAATTACAATTATAATTCAATCTCAAAATGTGTTGTATGAAATACATTTAAAAACACTGCAGAGTTGATTGTTATATAGTTTGAATATCTTATACTCTGAAAAAATTGCTCTTGATAAAAAGATGTCGAATGATGTGATTTTTAATTTTTTTTATCATTTATACATTCTTATTTTTGAGATGTTCACTTGTAAATTTAAAACATTACATTTTTGCAAAAATTTATGTTTTTCCATGTGGTACATTATTTAATAACAGTCCTGGTTTTAAATTTATATTTAGAAGCCTTTTCGTATATACGTATATCATGTGTACTACCTATACTTATGTAATATTGATTATTAGGTATATTATATAGGAATCTACTAAAAGACACTATATTAACGTTCTAACTTTATTGATATTTCGATAAAATCAAAACGATTTTCTATGCCTATAGTAGTTAAAAATATTCTATTAAAAAAAAAATTTGTGGAAAACTTTAATTTTACGCAATACTTGTTGTTGGTAAAACTTGTTTTGTTTTTTTTTTTTTGTAATTTTACTATTGAAAATCAAAAATAAATAATGATCTTGAGACTTGACCCATAAATATTCACTAGTTTATTTTTTTGTAATACGTATATTGTACTTACAGTGAATGTGAAAAGTGTACGTATTGTCGGCATACATCCAATAGACGAATCAGAGAATACGGTTAATTATAACGAAGACAGTAGTAATGACGGAGTTGTACAAGCAACAAATCTTATATCTGGTAAGTGGTATACGGGTGAATGCTGGGCCGAGGGTGCGAGTCCTAAGGCTACGATAGAATGGTCTATTGACGGAAACGGCACCTTAGCTGACGAAATACCTTCAGCTCCGACCACTGCTCGCATAACAGTAATGGAAGTGAGTAATTGTTACTGTGTATAATATTTATCATGTTAAGTTAAATATTTAATTATTAATTCAGTTATAATATTGATTTGTCGGACATGTTAGTTCATTGTACCTACCTAATATCATATATTGGTGTTTTGTTTTATTTTAAATTTAATTTAACTACAAGACGAAGGGACGAGGGTTAACTGCCATTTTTGTTCATAATGTATAATAATACGTATTCAAAAGTCTTACATGCACGTACCTACACCTCGTCGCTATTTTTATTTTATTCGTTTCTGTTATTTAGCAAACCGAACATAGCAGTAGGATACGATTGAGGCCTACGCCGAGTGACGATGGTCGATATTTACGATGCCGAGCTTGGAACCCTGATATTAATACCACGAAAGATAATATTAAAAATAAAGCTTTATTACTTAACGTCCAATGTAAGTAAAAACTAATTAAACCCCTTGTCGTAGTTACTGTTGTAATCACCGTTATATTGTGTTTTCATTCTACACAGACCATTCTACACAGGTCGTGTGCGAATTTATTAGTATTTGTAAATCGCGGTACTAGCTAGGTAGCAGCTATATCTATATCGTTTCTGATCAACTATTATTTTTTACGATTCCTCTTAAATGTGCGTGAACTATCTACACCTTTAGATACGTTTTATTATGATTTCTATGAGCCAAATCACTGATGGTTCTTCGAGAAATGTTTCCTGTATTTATATTGTACTTATTATGAGTGGATATTTAATGTATCTACCTAAAACTTAATATGTGTACCAACTACCAACTGTAATTTACCTTGAAAACCGTAAAACGATATTTTAATTATTTTTCGATGAAGTCAACAAAAGAAAAAAAAATCCGTTATTCTCGTAACGAAATTGAACTTGACGTACTTCTTAATTTAAATTTTATAATATAAATAAACTTTGACGGAAAAATTTAGACGATATTTCCCCGACGGGACGATATTTAAGATTAAAAACGAGTCACCCACCTGTATGACTAACACAATGTATTGCAATGTATTGTAAACAAAAAAATAATTGTACATAAAATGTACAGATCCGCCCATAGTTAAATTGAGTTTGGGCCACACGTTCGATCCGAGTAGAATCAAAACGGGAGATGACGTGTATTTCGAATGCAAGGTGTTGGATGGCAGCGGGAGCAGAGGAAAACAACGTAATCGCATTGAATGGTATCACAACGTGAGTGCACCCCGGCAAAGGCGAAACGTCTATCAATAATATTTATCGAGTCTGTATAATGATATGTTATGCTGCAGGGTCACCCGATCTTGCAAAACGGAAGTAGCAACGGTAGCGTCAGCATCGACTCGGAAATCAAAGTCGTTCTTTTGAGCGCCGGCACTTTGGTCATAAGGAACGTGGGCCGCCGACATTCCGGTCGGTACACGTGTCAGTGTAATAACGACTTGGGAATGGGACGGTCACGGCCGGTCACCCTCCGCGTCCAATGTAAGTACCCCATACGGTTCTGATTATAGTATGCGTGTTTCGAATAATATTCGCCTGCAAGACATTCGGCACTTTCGATCGAGCGAAATTCTATTTGTATCTCGTAAGTAGGTTAGGTTATCACGTATGCCATATTATTATATACATGGCCAGGTACCTACTTGTCTTACATAGCGTCCTCGTTTACCGTTTTGATACCTACGCGTTGACGTTTGATTTTATTCCGAAACTGCACGATGTGAAGCAAAATCATCCGTCTGCATATTCTATGAGCATGACATAAGTTTTCAAAAATAATTTATCGATATATATAGTAAATAGATTTATATCAAAAACATCATACTATTCGAAAGCGAATTCTGGCATTTTCGTTGTCTGCTATATTTCAAAAAGTGACTGGCAAATAAAATAACCCTTTTAAAGTGTATATACAGTGTGTAAACGGTAATCGAGAACACTCAATATCTTTACGTAGAGACCTGCTATTTGAATTCCGTTTTTTTGGCAGTTGTTATGACATAAAAATACACATTTTTATGGTCGTTGAATTTTTTTTACTTAATTAGTCACGCGCATGCGCATGTTAACTTTTTTTTTTAAATGGCAACCCCCTGCTTTAACCACTACTTATTTTTTGCCTATTTTTTTAATGAATTTTGGTAGTTGAATCAACTTTCTAAGTCCAAAATTGACCAAGTTACAGCCAATCAAAAAAAGAAAAAATTAGAAAAAAAATGCGCTCGATTTTCAGCTTTTTGATTTTAACTCTGAAAATAATTATTTTAGGATTGTTAAACATTGACATTTTTGTAACTATTTATTACGGTGATATTCATAAGTTATTTTAACTTCAATTACCTACTGAATAATTTTCTCTTTAATTTGAGTAATAAATCATATAACTTATTATAGCAGAAAAAACGTAAATTAGTATGTTGTTTATTTCTTTACATTTAATGGATCTATTAGAACGTATTAATAATTATTAATTAATAATAAATTCAATTCTTATTTAAGTTACCAATTTATTTAGTTAATAAAAATTTAAAAAAAAAAAAAAAAATCTAACGAATGAATTGTTCAAACTGTTCTCTGCCGTGAACAAAACATGATTCAGCGCGAGAAAATTATTCAGTAATTGAAGTTAAAATAACGTATGAATATCACCGTAATAAATAGTTACAAAAATGTCAATGTTTAACAATCCTAAAATAATTATTTTCAGAGTTACAATCAAAAAGCTGAAAATCGAGGGCATTTTTTTTTCTAATTTTTTCTTTTTTTGATTGGCTGTAACTTGGTCAATTTTGGACTTAGAAAGTTGATTCAACTACCAAAATTCATTAAAAAAATAGGCAAAAAATAAGTAGTGGTTAAAGCAGGGGGTTGCCATTTAAAAAAAAAAAGTTGACATGCGATTATTTGACAACGACCATAAAAATGTGTATTTTTATGTCATAACAACTGCCAAAAAAACGGAATTCAAATAGCAGGTCTCTACGTAAAGATATTGAGTGTTCTCGATTACCGTTTACACACTGTATATCTATACCACTTTCGAATTTTCTATTGGTGTACACTATATTATTATAAGGGTACTCGATTATTGGACTTTTGTTGTTGCTTAAGTGAACAATTCCGAGCACTGCTTTCCGAACTAAAAAATCAATCGAGAAAAAAAATCACGCAACTATGTGACAAATTAATACAATATGTTACACACTTAATATTATATTATGCATATGTTTCCGAAATAATTACATATTACGAATAATTGATATGTGGGAAAGAATTTAAAACAAATTGATATATAAGTCAACAGTTGTACTCCTAATTCATTTTAGTATATTGTAATTTCCTCAAAATTTAAACTTAAAATGTCTGTACAAAATAACTGGTTTTTTATATTTTTTAAATTGTTTTGGTTGCAGTATGAACTATTTATGAGCACCGTTCTTTAAAATTTTCAATTCTTAGCTATAAAATTGAATATTTTATAGTTTTTTTAAGAGGGCCCCTCACCTCATATGTTTTCTCCGTCGTAACATAGCAAATTGTACGCTCAGCAGAACACTTGTAGCTATGTTAGTTAAGAATTAGAGTGATTTCACCTCTTATAAAATTTATAGGTAAGATTATTATTCAGGCAATCTTATGGACTTTTTATTATATTTTAACTTTAAAGCGTGTTATGAGTATTTTAAAATTGTAAATTGTTTGAACATCTTAAAATACTCATAACTCGCTTTAAAATTAAATTAATATAATAAAAAGCCCATGAGATTGCCTAGATACTAAACTTACCTTTAAATTTTAGAAGAAGTCAATTCACTCTAATATTTAAACTAACAGAGCTACAAGTGTTCTGCTGTAAGACAAAGATGACATATGAGGGTGAGGCGTCCTCTTAACTATAAAGTAATTTCAAAATGTATGAGATTTTGATAAATTTTGTCAAAATCTGAACTTTAAATACTTATAAAAAAAATCGTGCTTATCGATCTTTAATATTTCTCAACTGCTATTATAATTATTACTTACAAGGAACCTTGCATTACATTTTCAAGCTGTATTATAGAATAAAAAACTAAAAAAAATGAAAATGTCTATAGAGAACTCAAAATTAGCAAAATATTTTGAAAATTTAATCATGTGTAGTAAATAATAAAATAAAATAAATTGATAAAAACATTATCTACTGTTAATATTTTTTGAATAACAACAAAATAAGAAAATCATTGTATGAGAATTTGTTAATTTATGGGTATATATTCAATGTCTAACTTCAAATGCTCTTAAAAAATTATTACTTATTTTTTTTGTTAAATATAAGAAAACTTAAGAGGAATCTAGTATAAAAATGTTAAACTTTTGATATACATAGAAAAAATCTTATACATTTCCAACTCAATATAATTTTCCAATTTCAGACGACTATAAAAAATTTTTGAGGACTATTACTGTTAACTTTTTTTTTTAATTTCCAAAAACAATAACTTATGAAGAACGTTGTATTATATTTTCAAGATTTTGACCAAGCGAAAATTTTTTTATCTACAATAATTACAAAATAACTATGAAACTCAAAATTTTCTTTTGATTACAAATAAGAAAAAAAAAGAGACATAATATTTCGAAAATGTTATGGTGCATACTAATTTCTAATATAAAAATTTAGTGAAAATTGCATGCATATACGGGTTTTTTTAAGTAACACTAAAATACAAAATTGATTTATTCAAAAACTGGTTTTGCGTAAAAATCCCAGTTTTTCCTTAATTTTTAGTTTGTTTTTCCTGATGCTATTAAAAACTATTAGGAATTTTTAGATTCTGAGATTAGCTATGAATGTATTGATTTTAAATAGATCATCCCGGATAAATTACAGTACTGATTCCAAACACTATGGCTGCCAGTACCGTGCCTGTAATATACAGACAGTATACTTCCGCAATGTTGCGCCTATTATGAATTTCCGATTGGGGATGTGTATTGTTTATTTTTTTTTTTTGTGTGTCTGTCATCACCTTTTAGGACAGTAAAAATGCTTAGATTTTCTTCAACTGTGTCTTCTCTGATGGGAAAGTGAATCTAGTTGGTACTTTGGGGATCAAAAGTAAAAATTTCCTAGTATTTTTCAAAAGCGCCGTGAAAAATAAAAGAAAAATTAAGGAAAAACGGGAATTTTTACGCAGTTGGTTTTCAACAAAATCGATTTTTGTTTTTGGTACTTCATAGGCTGACTGACCATCTTCGCTCAGAATATATTTTCGTATACAATGATATTATATTATTGAATTTAAATCTAACACCATACATTACAGTGAGCAGCCGCGCCTGTATGCTATAACCTACTGTACAGCAGAACGACACTCACTTGCCCACCTTTTTATTATACACTTTTGACCAACCAAAGTACCAACTAGTTTCACTTTCCTACCAGAAAAGTTGCTATTGAAGATAATCGAAGAATTTTTAATGTCCCAAAAGGTGATGACAGAAAAAAAACACTCATCATTGTAAAATCAATATATATATATATATATATATAGTATCAAAACAACTTGTTACTATTCAAAAGTACCGGAATGGTTGAAAATTCGAAATGTTTCTATAAATGTAAATAGGTTAGGTTGAAAATAAAGTCATTATTTAATTTAATGAGTGAGAGAAATCGAGTGTTCCCTACATAGTTACAAACTTGGTATATACCTACTATATATTATATTTAAGTTAATATTGAAAAAACACCGGTAAACGATAAAAAACATGTATATATATATCGATAAAGGTTCGCGGTAACGATGGGCGACCGGATGATAATTCGCTGAGTATTACCAAAAAGGGTCACAGGTTAGGAGCATCATCGTAGTGGAACCACATATTAATACTGGTAAAATAACATAGTGGAAAGAAGGGTAAAGAGGAGGATTTATGCTGGTGGTGGAGGAAATCTCTGACACCCATTATTGGATCTGAATCAGGTTTTTTTTTATAAATATAGCAATTATGTTTTCACCGTAATAATTGTTATAAAATGTAGATGTCTAATCGTCAACGAAGAATTAAATTGAATTGGATATGGGCTTATTAGTTCAATTTATTGATTATTTCTTCGTTTTATTACTTTAAATATTATACAGGAATATGTCTTTGTGGACGAATGCAACTATTAATAGTATTAAACTTAATCAATTTTACTCTACCGTGTAAACAAGTACGTAGCTACATTATTTCATAACAAATATCAAATGTTGAGTGATATTATTTTTACAAGCAAACATGTGAAGGTAAATTAATGAAAACAATTTATTGAATTAATAGTTACAAAACAATATATTTCACTCTAAAAATTCAAAGTTATTATGAAAAAAATACTATCAATTATCATAGGTAACTCAGTTAAAAACAACAAAATTAATTTATGCCAACCGGGTCACACGTTTTACGTTTAATAATATTGTGCAACTTTAAATTTTTTAAATAATAACTACCTACCTAAATGTTATATTTGGACTAGATCCTTCACTATTCCATCTTATTTCACACTAGCTTTAGTGGTTTATACAATTACACTTTTATTTCGACTACATTATTAAATAAAGGAATATTGTTTTATTTATATTTAAATTTGTGAATAAACAAAGTGAATAAACAAAAAATAATTAATTAATTTTAAGTTCACAGTTATAGTTTTATGTACAAAGATAATTTTAAGTTTTAACTGAATGGATTATTTTTAAAATTAACTGAAAAAATCTAAGTTGTTACAATGGATTCTTTAACTAGCTAAGTTATTAAGAAAATTAGAATTTTAACTAACTAGTTAAGTTTAAAAACTATAAAAATAAAGTTTATCTTAGCTCTAAAGGAACGGCAGCGTCATATAGAGATGAAGTATCATAATATGGAAAAAACCTTAAACCGCTTTGTCACTTTCTGAAGCCATTTTATAACGGATTTGATATACTTTTTGAGATCTTACAGTCAAAATGTTGAATTCATAAATGTTTATCTTGAGATTTACATCAGATACCTTCATATTTGTATAATTCACTTTCTGAAACAATTTAAAATCAATTTAAAATGTTTTTCAGAAAGTGTTCATCTTGTAAAAAGCCTAAATGTTGAAATTTGTATTCTATTAAATTGTCCAGTTGTCTTAATTTTAATTTAACTAATTAAATTACATTTTTATTTGAATTGTTATGTTTTATTAAAAATTTAAATTTAAATCAGCTTTTTAGCCACTTGAAAAAATCCTGACAATGATCAACAAGCAAAATCTAATATCTTCCTATAAAAGAAAATATTCAAAATCCGTTACGAAAAAATGACTTTAGAACGTGAATATGAATTATATTATACAACATCAGTTTTTAATGTGAACTTTTTAACGTGTTTGATGTGATTCTCCAGATATAAATACAGATATTTAGGTAGAAATCAAACATTTTGTATTTTAGTCACTTTATAAAATATTATCTTAGCTTTCTAAAAACATTCTATGTAAAATTGCCGAAATTGCGACTACCTACCTAATATTATACATTAAATGTGGGAGCTATATATACGAGATTGAATAATAACGTACTTATCGGTAATTATTAATTATAGCTGATCCCGTGCACTTCGTCGCCCGTTAAATGGATCAACTCAATACTACCTACTCAAACTTTGTTCAATTCATTAACGTGTATGGTGTTCAAAATTTATCTTATCTTTCCCGTTGCCCTGAATAAAAATTCTGAATCGCAGCAGTACATTATCAGGTAGGCAATCTACCTGCGGTAGATCGCGGACCCCGTGCTGTTTGTACGGAAGTGTATGATTTAACTCTAAAGTATCAAAGTTATACCAAGTTTATTTTGATGTAATACTGTGGATTAATATAATAAATTTGGTTGCTCGTAAAAAATCACAACTCTTAAAAAAATTATGATTGTTGAACTCCTTGTGGGTGTAATTTTCTGCGGTAAGTGCAACTCTGCCACCCTGGTAAGCATTGTTCAATAATTCGATTTGATGCAAGCTTGTACCTGATCTGCCCGAATAACTAATGGCAACCAATAAATAAATGCTAATTTCTAATGTAGACTGTAACCAATGGCAACTATAAATAAATAAAATAAAAATTTCCAATTTCTATCGTGAATCTCAATGTCCCTGTTTCAGCACCTATTTAAAATGCGAATTTTGGCAAATCCTTTCTTAGCGCACGTCTATATTATAATAGCTATCTGTATGCCAAATTTCAGCCAGATCCGTCCAATGGTTTGAGCTGTGCGTTGATAGCAGTCAATCAGCTTACTGTTTTTTATATACAGATATGGTTGCCATGGTAATATGGACACACACACACACACACACACACACTGACATACATTCATTTTTATATATATAGATTGATATGAAATCTTGGTAACCTTAGTAACCATGGCAACCTTGGTAACCATGGTAACATGGACACACAGACACACAGACACACTGACACACTGACATACATTCATTTTTATATATATAGACTAGTTACTAATTACTAATGAATATTAATTCATCGCAGACGCTCCCGTTTGCGCGGACGACGGCAATCAACTGCAATTGGTGGGCGTGGAAGCCAACGAAAATCACGTCCGCATCGTGTGCCGTGTAAGAGCCGACCCGGCCGACGACCGTGTCCAATTCGAGTGGCTCGTGTGGCCGGGCGCTGCGGCCGCGGCCACCGGTGAGCTGCACCAGCAACAATCACCGAGCGTGGTGGCCACCGGCAGCTACGTCACCACCGCTCTGCCCAACCAGCGGAACGACACGGCCGTCGGCGAGCTTGTACTTCCGGCCACGACCGTCGGTGTTCCGGACGTGGTCCAGTACGTGGACCGAGCGCCGCACGTCAAGAAACCCATCGTGCTAGACACGGTTAGCTGTCGGGCCACCAACGCCGTCGGCCGTCAGCAGAACCCTTGTTTGTATCACATAATACCGGCATGTAAGTGTACCGCCAAAGCTTTGTTATATTCTATGTAGTTTTAGTCGTAGAGTATATAATATAAACATATAGTAGGTACCTATTACCTAATACCATTGATTGTATTATGTATAATCAGGCTGCGTACGAGTTGATTCCCAGGTACCTGTTTACCTTCAATGATACCGTTGAGTTGATTCCCGGGTCATTAAGAGATACGTACTAGTTGATTCCCTGGTAGTTATATATTATTTTCAATATTTAGTAAAATATTCAGCCTAACCCAAGGAACACCACGAGGAGGTTGGCTGACGAGTTTCTCAAAAATGTTGTTCTTTTTAGTTTTTCATAACTTGAAAATCATTCAACTTTTTGTTAAAAAATGATTAGGAAAAAAATGTAGTACCTAGATAAAAAATTATTATTAAAAAATTTATTAATTTGGTTAAAATGTATAACACATTGTTTTTAAAAATTGGTATCTGGGAATCAACTCACCTACTGCGGTATAATCAATGCTAATACCTGATATATATAATTATGTAGATTGTAATTTGTAGGTATGCTGTATGATAGTTATACTGTTGTATTGATATGTACATTATAATATATTCAGAGATTCAAAAATCTTTTTTTAGGATTTGATTTTAGAGGTTGTCGGAAAATTGGAAATTTAAAAAATACTATTTTCCCAGTTCTAAGCCCTCCCTGTTTTCTAAACGTATTATACTGCATATAGAATATGTCATAGAATACCTGCAGATTAATGTCTACCTAATGCCTATGAAAAATGTATAAGATTGCCAACTTTTACAATTTCAAAAATCAGAGACCACCGACGACAAAAAAAAATTGTGACATTTGAATATTGTAATTTGAAGCGTAACTGTAAATTTCTATGATTCTTTTTTATTTGGTCACAACTTACTCAGAAATCATTAATTTTAATGTGTAGGTACCTACATGAATAAATAATTTAATAATTTAATAAAATTGTCCATTTAAAGATGTAATATCTATACATACCTATACAATGTTAAATAAATAAATCAGTAACGCATCAGTGGCGATTAAAAAGCATGTCTTTAACTGTGTCCAAACTAAGTCTATTGCATATGTACCCAATACCTACATTTTAAACTAAAGTACTACCTATAAAAGGTAGACCTAATATTAGTATTTAGTACCTAGGTACGTGTTTATAAAGAATCTTATAAACTAGTTTTTAATACAAAAAAATAATTTATGACCATAGTATTGAGCAGAAAAATAATAATTTGTATGATGTTCTATTCAGTGGTAAGTGAATTTTTAAATGACTGCAAGTGATATTTTCTGTTTCTGTATTTTTTATTTAAATGTTAAAACAATGTAGGTATTTTTTGTTGAACAATGTTTAATGTTTATTCAAATAGGTGTTTACTTAAAGCAATAGAAATTCTTCATATTTAATAATAAACATAACCCAACATAATTACGTTCTTATAACAAAATGTATCCGCCTTACCGACTCACTACTTTTGTAACCATACGACAAACAGAGGTTAACAGGTTATCTCCTTAGTCCTTTCAACCATTTTATCTAAAAATATACCTACACGTTTTGGTTTATTTTTCTACAAACTACAGCTTCTATATTGATTCACTTTCACAAACTTCTACTCGACACATTAAAATGTATCGGCATATGAAAATATAAAAATGATATTTTATCATATTTTCTCCTGAGCACAGACGACTTGCACTGCACACAAAGTCACAAACGTTGAAACGTCAAATGCAGACTGACGAGTGACGATTGTATTACTTTACTAAACTAGTCGTCGTCGTACCAGTACGTGAACGATAATAAACATTTATCTTAGTATCATATTATTTATCATTTATAACTACGACGATCCCAATATGCCATTATAATATTATGACAGTTCCATCTTCAGATTGATTTTGATTTTATTAAAATATATGTTTGTGTACTTAATAATAAATAATTCTCACTTTCGTGTAAATGTTGTCGAGGGATGAGGAGAGGTGCTTCCGGGGATAGCCTCCCAATAATGTCCCCTAATCTCAAAATATAATTTAGGATTTGGGATATGTGAATAATAATTGGGGTGCGGGCGACTTTACTTTGGATATTGTTACTCCCTCCCTCAAAATAAAAAAAATATATCAATGTAATGTCTGACTGATATGATTTAGAGGTAGGTACTATCATAACTCATAAACACTGGACATTTGAAGTCTAGTTGAAAAGTATAACATGAATATTGGATTGGCACCAAATTACCAAAAACTATAACTGTCTATGTAAAAACTTGGTGATGGTTAACAGTCCTAACGCGTATGTTGTGTTGATTGTGTTTGTCTTATGTCTTCATATATATATTATACATATTAATTGCATTTACCTAAAAACATATCTATCCAGTGACGTAGCCGGGGGGATTGGGTGTTTACCCCCCTGACATTTTTCTATCTAATAAATCTATTATTTATATACGAAAACTATAAAAACTTGGTTTAATTTATACTTACACCCCCCCCCCAACACCATTTCAAAATCCTGGCTACACCAATCGTATTAAAGTTGAATATTTATAAGAATTTAATTACACTATATTTTATGCATGAATCGACATTAATTCGAAAATAACTCACTATAAAATATAAATTAGCTACCTTAAATTGTAATGCAGTGACAAAATAAAAATTTTAGTTATATTTAAAATTTTAGGTCAACCTAAAAAATACTTTATACCAAAATATATAATTCAGTGGATCAGCAGTACCCAATTTTCAAAAGCTATTAGTTAATAAATAACAATGTTATTATTGGGTCAAACACGACGAGAGATGTTGTGATTTCTATATAGGGCTCGATAGTTGATAATTACATCATGCATAGAGTTGTATATATACACATATTAATTGCTGTTTGAATTTTGTTTTTTTTTTAACGGAGGGCTAAAAAACAATAGTTCAACTATTAGAGTATAGTTGTAACTACTATATCTAAAATCACTGTAGCCGTAACATTTAATTTTCTGTGCTCTTTCTTACATGAACTTACTAAACTTGGCGTAATTTTTTATTCGAATACGTACAATATTATTGTTACAATGTTATTTAATCAACGTAAAGTTATAGAAACTACACTGTTATAATATATTATTCCAGCTAATGTTAAACAGTAATAATAATAAAGCAGTTTAAATGTTACAGAGCACCCCCATCATGATAGAAACTTTTGAAACACAATGACATAAAATGTATATTATTCAACCAACATCTCGTTATTATTTTATTTTCGCTTCCGTCTAAAATATAATATATTTGACTAAAACGATTTTCGATGTCACATTGAAAAAAATTTAAGTATTTTAATGACATGTATACGTAATGTCGATAGGTACATATAGTTGTTTTTAAAACTCCCATTTCTCGCATTTTTAACTTCGAAGGTTGGTTCGGTTCATATCAGGGGCGTAATTAGGGGGGATTGGGGGGATAGAGACCCCTCCAAAATTTTTTTTTACTTCTAACATTTTGATCAAAGTATTGACAATGACCATTCATGTTTGCTAAAAACGTATATCCCCCCCCCCCAATCAAATTCCTAATTACGCCACTGGTTCATATTATGTCGTAATTAGTGTATAGCACGCCTCACTTCCGAGCATGAAACGAACACATCTTAAACGAGCCCTCGTTAAAAATAATATAAAACATATAGTAATTATTCCCGTTTGTCTGTCTGTATGCACAGCTCCTCCGGGTCCGTTGACTGGCTGCGCGATTCGATTGCCCAAAGATCAAGAACGCCACGCCGGCACCGGAAATAGACATCACCATCTCCATCATCAACAACATCATCATCAGCGACGCACTTCGCCCGTCCACGACGGCGTGGAAGACAAAGACTTGGCAACAATAAGTTGTACTTTAGACAACGACGGCGGAGTTAGGCCGGTGACTTACTCGTTGGAGATTTACGAGAGCAATGATTTGACCACGACGTTACACGGGTTAGCGATTAAATATAATAAATATTACAAAATACATACGTACATATAATACTTGTAGAGGATGTAACAAAAATATCGGACAATATGTGTAAATATTACTCAACCATGTGGGTGATCACGTATTTGTTCTTAAATTAAAAATATAAAAACAACAATACAATATTATCATAATAATTAAAAATAAAAACAAATGTATTTGTCTAAAAGTTATTACAATATAACGTTATAGCTAATTGCATCCGTCAGTATTGTTTCTGTTATACCCTGTATACATAATATGTCACGGTCAAAGTGGGGTGGCAGATTTTATTAGTGTTAAAGTGTTAATCAAATCCATGTAAAATAAAATATTACATATAACAGCGATGAACGATTGTTTGTTTTGACCGGTCGTCGTCCTACTGCTGTTCCGTAAGCATTGCCAATACATATATTATTCGCAGAGTGCGAGCAATATATAAACCGTACAGTTAAATATTGACACAGTTTCTGTTGTTTTTTTTTTTTTTTGTTGACCGTAGTGTGAAACAGCTTTAAAGGCCAAACATGCCTGCTTGCTACCAAGCAAATAATTTTTAAAAAAATTATCGTGTTGATTAACTTCCAAAACAAATTATAAAAACCAAAGCAATTCCGTACACATTTATATCCACTGAAGCCTCGGCGGTTGTTGGTACATAATAGAATTGTTTAAACAGAGCATACATATTATAATAATTTAAATCTAGGTATTCTGGTATTTAATAGTACCTACGTTTATTCATACTTATTTGCAATTAAATTTTATTATGATTTAAATCAATGTCAATATAATTAGCTTCTTCCTTCTTCTATCATTCTTACCCATATATTTTGATTTCACTGTTAAAATATTTTCATGATATTAATTATAATGGTGATTAACCATCAATAAATATGGTAAAATTGAAAATATGGACGACCAAAATAACCATAAATCGTGGTACCAAATTATCAATAACGATAAGTTAATAACAAACGAATAATACATCCATTCAGAATGTAAAAAAACACTTTGATAGGCATCCTTATAGTATACTGAACATTTAATTGAGAATTAAAAGACAAAGTTTGTGAACATCAGTGAAGAATTATTTTGAAAAATTAAAAATTTTAATTTGAAGGCCAACAACCGATTAAAAACGAGTAGTTCCATAAGTATCGAGAATTTGGAACTATCGGCGTGCGCCTTCCCCCCTCACAAAAAAGTGTAAAGAAATCGATTGTTAATGTTGGATACAGAATCCCAAAATTACTCAAAGGCCAAAGCACACGCTTGTTATTCGTCTGATATATAGTGACATTTTAACACCGCATTGGCCATAGGTATAGGTATACGGAATAGCATATTACCGTATTATATATTTATATTATAGTAAACGCGCATAGTATTTTTGCGACTATAAAATTATACAAATCGAATTTCGACGTATACAAAACAATAGAATATTTATTATGGTCGTATACGTGCAACCCATGCGTGCCTGCCATCAATTCCATGTTATGTTATAAAAAAACCAATGCTCCTATACCCATATTGCAAGTATAAAACATAATGATAGTTTGAGAAAAAATAAGTATACAGTAGATACTTGTTGTCTAGTTGCGATAGTATATCGACGGTCACATACTCACACAATTGAGTCTCTGGCATTTCAACCAGTGTACCTATACCTATATATTATAGGTACCGCATAACGATAACTCTGCCCGGACATCGGCACATCGTGATAATAATAATATATAGAATCGTGTTCCTATATGTGTCTAAAGACTAAAGCCCAAGTACCGTTTTACAACGACTCGAAGTCCAGACGCGACACGAGTTACAATATATCGGCCCGCACCTAACCGAATATAATATAATATATATATATATATAGGACATAACACGCAGAATGCCTCAGGGTATCACCATGACGCAGCTAAATCTCCGTCAATAACTGCAATACTAAATATTAATATTTTTGATAATGAATAGGTACTGTAGAATATTATGTCCATTGTCCGTGAAGTTGAGACCACCCCTCCCCCGGCTATTTTATAATAATAAAATAAGTCAATATTTTGCAAAACAGATTTTGGAATTTGAAATCATGGCTCGTTAAAATATTTAAAATTCGTTCTCAAAATATTATAGCACATTATCCGTATCGATCGGACAAAGTCGGTGTGGGGAAGGCAACTACACGGACACCTGTAGAGTCACGTTAGTTTTGATTTAAATAGCGTTTTACGGTACACCTATGCTCAAAACAAAAATATTAAAATGTCTGTTTACGTGTGTTACCTTTAAGAACCTAGCCACCTGAATAGATTTGATTGGTTATTATCGAATTTCTTAAAACTGTAGAAAGGTTTAGATGCCAGTATAGACGTGTACAAGGGTCTGAGTGAGGGAGTGGGAAACAAAGTTGTCATTATATTATAAACTATATAAGCCATGACCATAAGCCTATACCTAACTGAAAAAATAATACAGCTTCAGCGCCCGTTGTTTTTTCATTAAAATAGCACCCCTGAGCTAACAACATAAGTGCGCTTTCATATTTTCGTCATCTCAGTCCAACAACCCCGTTTAATAATTGACGTCGTTAGCGCAGTTAAAGGTCGAAACAAATAATCTCCCTGCATAGTAGTTAGCTAATTTTGGGTATTGACGACGAGATATTTCCCAGCCAATGAATTCCTTTCCCAATCATGGTCAAATTGTTATCTTTGACCGTACCATATTATTATCGTAGTATATAATATAATGCAGTGAGTACCGACTACCGCTTAATGTGATCGCATTGGTTCAGACCGTTTTTGATTCTATTAACCAGTTGATTCCATAAAGCATTTTTTTTTCAACATAATATTTGATTTTGGATTTTCATTTTTGATTCCAATAAACGGTTGATTCTATAAACCAGTGATCACATTAAGCGGAACTCACTGTATTATTATGCCTGATATCGTCCGTTTTCTAAATTACAAGTGCCGCTTGCCAACTTGCTCTGTCTTACAGATCATCCTACGCGACGGCGGACGACAACGACGACGACGTTCGCCGCAATAAATATCGCGGCGAATGGCTCGCGGACAACGTGACGGGCACCGCGGCCGCGTCTATGGCGGGTGGCGGTTCAATCGAGTACCGCGTGAACCGCAAGAACCTGCGGCTGAGAAACGGCCCGGACGACGGTCGAAAACATTTGACCCTGTCGGCGTACGCGGCCAACCGCATGGGCCGCGGCCCGCACACGTACTTCGGCAGCGACAACGTGATGCTGTTGAGGCACCCGTGGTGGTGGCGCGGCGAGTCGGCTTACGAGAGCAGTACGAGGGCCGCCGGTCCGGCCGGAACATCGTCCACCGGTACGTTTTTGTCCGTTTCAGTTCACCAATATTAATTATTATTTGTGTCCATATTGTCCACGAGTGCATTATTAACAATAAGCATAATAACATGCGTAATGGGAGTGGGAGGGGCAGTTTATAGTAGATCCGAAGATATTATGTCCTTTTCCCCCCTTGAAACGGCACGGTCACGATGGACCGGCGTCCGAAATAATAACGCTTGGGTTTTTCGTTATTACATCTTATCCTGTATTTTTACACAAATATATTTTGTACAATGTGGGGGCAGCGAGGATCACGGGTGTGACGGTTGGTCTATGGAGACGGACCGTCGCGGTGAGACCTCGGCACGGCCAGCAATTGCTAGGCCCTAATTACAAATATGAAGGGAATGTTTGCGGGGGAAACGGACGATAACAGTCGCCGTATGGACGGGGTCAGTATACCACGGCGCGTGACTCGTAAGAAGCGGCTACTGTGATATACTAGACCCGGGTTTCGACACAACTTGATCAAGTGGCCGTAGGAGGGGACGTATGGGTGGTGTTTTAGTCTCCGACTGTTGGAGTCGACGGCGACGGTGGATACCGGCGCAGCGCGGCAACTGCTTGGCTCCTGGTACTCCGTGCGGCGGGTACTTGCCGGTCGGGAAAGCGTGTGTGCGGCTGGTTCTCCGAGTACGGCGCCGTGGGCGTATTGAAATGCCGTCAACCTCGACGCGGCTCTCCTGCCGGTTGCGTGTGGCGGTCGACGATAGGCTGCGGTTTTGAATGATTCGGGCTTGGGTCGACTTGTGGCCGGCGTTCGTCGTTCACGATATCCCGCTGGTTGTCGGCGACTTATGGCGGCTTCGTGGATCGTCAGGTCTTCGGGTCTTCACTTCTTCTGGTGTTGAGATGTTGAAGGTTGGTGTGTTGAGAGAAGACTGATTATCGGTGCGGTGAAAAAGTCCGGTATATATACCCGGCCCCGTACCGACTAGTAAACTCCCGTGTTGCCGCCGCTGTCGTTGTGTTTAGGTTCTGTGCGGGAAGTGGTGTCGTCCGCACAGTTTTGGGGCTCTAGGTATGGGGATGGTTTTGTTCGATGGGTCTTGTTCTCACCTTTGGATCCCTTGTATTCCAGAGTGTGGAACAACCCCGGACCCTCGTACTGAGGGCGCAAAGTCATTCCGCCGGGCTGTGCTACCGTTCTGGGCCCTGATTGGTGGACCGTTTTATATGTATGACGGTGTACTGTTACACCCTCTATTATTTAAGTCACAATTCATTGAATATTGCAACCAGAGACCCTTAATGAGTTCCTGTTCGGTACTCGGAAAAACTAAAATTTCGATTTCTTTTCAGTTTTTAAAAAATAAAAAATTGTTTAAGTAAAAGTATCGGTTCCGGTATTAAAAATAATTTAAATAAGGGTTTTGGTGAGGTTTCGGTTCCCAATATTCAAAGGGTTCCGGTTTCCAAACCGGTTCTTTTCGGTAAGGTTCCGGTCCCTGATTGCAGCACATTTTTTTTTTAAATATCAGGCTTTGAACTCGCTTTTACACTTGATTTTTAATTTGTCATTAAAATATCTATAATATATTATGCTTAGGTAAATAATATGTGATACCGGATACAACAACTAACGTTTACTAACTTGATATATTAGTTATTTTAAAATTCTTCCTAAAATTCGAGGACTGATATAGATAATATTTATAATCTTTACATGTATAGATTTATTATTGGTAGATTAATTATTGGGAAAGGGATGGGTAGTAATCAGTGTGATGGTCCTGCTAAATGAGATAATATAATATGAGAGGGATAATATTAATTATTCCTGGACAATCAAGGCACTAGACTATTGTTCATATTCATATTATAGTTTTTAACTAGCGAATAGAGAAAATAAATGGGAATCTATATATTATACTAGGTAGGTGAAAATGCGAAATATTATGTCATATGAATAATTTGTTGGCGTTGCTAGTGTGACGAGAACAATGAGTAATCAACAAAACATTTGTGTGACTTTTTTTAAATTTGTTTTCCTCATTCCTCTCAGAATCTAAGAACTACTTTAAAAGGTTTAATCAGTAGTTGAGTAGTATACTAGTATAAAATATAGATCTATATTGGAATTTGGGACATACTCTGCAGTCTGAACAATATAACTCTTTTCTTCTGCTAAAAATATCAACCGATATCTATTAGATGAATAACTATCATGCACTATAGTAGTATTTTAAAATACATTTTATACAAAATAATAGATATAGTTATACTTATAAGTTATAAGTGTTATAACTTATCTAGAAAATACATAAATCAAGAGACGTGACTATCTATAATAACAAAAAATAATAACTGTCAAAAATGACAATTTACATACGATAAAATATAAGTCTTGAATAATGGAGTTATTGAAACAGAATAAGTAGGTAACTATATAGAAGTAGGAAGCATATTATGTCATATGCGTAGGATGAGTAGAACTACTTGTGGTTGAATAGAGGTCTTATACCTCGCTCATTGGGCATTTTAAAATTATAAAATTCTTTTGGATTAATAATATTTCATGAATCACAATATTTGTTATCTAATTTCGATATTTATATATGAACTTTGTGTTAATGTCCACCAAAACTGATCTGCTTTCCAATATTAACCCAGATGAGAATATGAGATAATCAATTAAGTAGCAAGTAGCTCAAAAACATTAATCAAAGAACTAGCTGGTGCAGTACTAATTAATTAATTAGTCAAACTCAAACATACTTTTTTTTTTTAAACTAAATTTACCGGGAAGGTATACTTTTTTCATAAAGTCTGAATGTGTACAGCCAAATCCTGCTCTGCAGATAGGTACCTACCTAGATTAATGATACTATACCAGAAACAGGTACAAATTAAGTGATGCATAACCCAGGAAATTGTTATTTTAATTGGTAACAGATAATAATATCGCATACTAATATTATTACGTGTGCGCAGAATGGTGGATAATGTTGAGCGGCGGTGCCGACGACGACGACGACGATCGGCGGAGCAACGCGTCGAATGGCCGCGGCAAAAACACCACAGCGACCAGCGTGATAGTGTTCGCTTCGGTAGCGGCCACGTCAGCGATAGTCATCGCGGCGGCGTTTTTGTTGTGGAGACGGCGGCGGGACGGCGGGAGATCTCCGACGATTACGGAAACCGCAGCGATAGCGTCCAACGACCGGGCGACGTGCGGCGGTGGCGGCGACAAGACCGGTGAAAAATATTCGCTTCTCTCACGGCGAACGCAGCAGCAGCAGCAGCAGCAGCAGCGAAACGTCTACCCGAATCTGACCGGGTCGAACCGCGATCGTGATCCAGCAGATCCCGGAGATCCTGCTCCCGACATAATGATCCAACAAAACTACGGCAAACAGTTTTTGGTGTCGATCGTGAACCGTGGCATTCCCGGCCCCGAGAGTTGCGTATAAACGACAACCTGTTCAATATAATATCATAATATTAATAAGTACCTATCATTATATTATATACCGCCCATACCTTGTTACCTTGTTCGCTATATGGTATATACACACATTAAATATTTTATACAATATTATGTACACAGTAATAATAATAATAATAATAATGGTAATAATATTATGTGTGTACACGATAATAATAATATTATTGTAATATTGTGAATGTATATACGCTAAACACACATTTGTTTAGCCCAATCCCCGAATCCGGTCAGGGCCGAAAACAGCAGATCACATATTATTATATACCGTGGATCTCCGTTTTTCATTTGTCTATTATTATTTATTGTCGATCATCTCAACCCAATAGTGAAACAATACACAATATTATAATAGTTGAATGTTGAAAAAACTACAATCGCCATTCGTCAGGAATACCTGCTAGTTATACATAGGTATACAAGATCGACGATTTGTCGGACGTCTGCCTCTTCCTTTTTGAACTCTGTAATCATTTTTCGAGTTTTTTTTTTTACAATAACAATAATGTTAATGTCCTAGTATATTGTAGTAATCAGAAAATCCAAGAATTATATTCAATCAGTTTTTATTGTAGTGGAAACATAACGATTATTGACCGTCATGTAATTAAATGTATTATAACAAAATACAACGAAACCTCGATAACTCGAACGTCTAAAAGTCGAATTTTCAATAACTCGAAGGAATATCTTCACCCCCGCATTTCAATAAGTACACACAATATGTTATACAACTCGAATTTTTTTTCGGCTCCAACCGATTCGAGTTATCGAGGTTTCACTGTAGTATAATTTCTATAACCATTATAGGCATTAACTATTCATTCAAATATAAATAAACGATAACAACAATTTATTGACCAATAATAAAAAAAAAACAATAGGTAATATGTTGTCAAATATTTCTGAAATGGCTGGTATAAGTAGAATATTTTCTATAATAATTCTAACCAATTAACACATTGAAACTTCATATAACCAAGTGCAATTTGGGTGACTCTGCACCCTCTTCACACACAACAACTTATATAATTCTCCAAGTATTATAAAAAAACCAATTGATTAGCAAATAATAATTTTTTTAATATTAATTTATATCATGCATTTTTTTTGTCAGCATTACTAAAATCTTACCAACTGCAACCACTGCTGCTAATAATTGAAACTTAATATAATATTATAGTTATCTATGTTCTATTAATTATATTTTCCATTTAAAATGTTTAATAATTTGAAGTATCATCTGTCGACCTTTATATTTATTTTTGATTTTAGCAAGAACTATTCTATTACCGCTTCTCAAGTATTTGTTATTGTAATTTATTAGGTTGTGGCTGGGCATGGAGTGTGTATCCATATTGTACACTTATAAAGATGGGGTAATAGTTCAAAACACCTAACCCAGTAAACCCTCAAGTTAGGTTTGAGTAATGATGACAATGTATCAATGAATGCGACGTAAAAAAATATATTAAAAGTAAGCTGAAGAGGAGTGTAGAAGCTTTCACCTTTCATAAATTTGTTCAGCCCTCAAGAAAATATTAAAATCGCCCAATTTACCTAATATACTTTTCGTTATAAAATAACAATTTATTATTGTGGTTACCAATTCTTCTCATGTCTATTAAACGTTGGAATTTAGTCATATTGTTATTTTTTTTTTTTTTTGACAAATATTGTTAAAACGTTTTATTTGTAAGCGTTATAGTAAATAATTAGTATTACTATAAATAATATAATATATTAAATACTATTATACAGAAATATTATGTGTGTGTGTCCATGTTAAAATGTTGAATGTTAAATTTGTAGTGTTCTATCAGTTATTTTATTAATTTTATTTAAGTCATAGTGAATTAAATTCATTTTTAATAGATCAGTACTAATAAAATTGTATATATTTAAATCGGTTATTGCTCTTTATGTTATATAATTTATCAATATAATGTTTAACAAAATTCAAGTAGTTAATTAAATCGGTCAATTGGTCAATTTTCATTGGTTTTAAGTTAAGTATTCAATAAATAAAAATAAAATAAACTTACACCAGATGGTAAATAGAATTTTTCCACATTTCGGAATATCGTTTTTAGCCACCTACCTACTAATAAAAATTTAAAAATATTGATATGTCCCCTACTTCATAATCAAATAGGTATAAATCTATTATATTAAGAATCATCTAAAGTTAAAGAATTTGTTGTTATACTTATATTTTATAGTATACTAACTATACATACCAGTTAACTGTTAAGGTCTTTAAAATAGATATTTCTTTTAAAAATAGAAAAATGTATTTAAGTCTATAAACAGTACTATACAGTATTATATTAAATTCTAAAATTATAATGAAACATCACTTACAACGTGTTTCAGAATAATAATGTACCATGTGCGTATATGTAGGTACCTATACACGATATGCAGCTATACTTATGAAACAGATATTAAAAACATTTCACTACCTATCATAATTTTCGAAAATTCTGTTTGTACGTCAGCTGCTAAAAGTGTGCACAATTCCAATACATATACGAAGTTTGAATACGATATACGAATATACGATTGTCGTTTGAGTAAAAAATGTTAATACTTTGACATAGGTCCTACTATATTATATTGAACAGTGACTTATATTGTGAAACATAATGTTGACTAATATTGTAATTATTTAGACATAGTTTATTAATATTGATGCGTTAAGGTCATTGTTACACAATTATTATACTATACTACTAGAGGTAACGAAATTATTATGTATACCGGAACCGTAGTGTTAGTAAACTGTATTAAATCATAATATTATTATTTATTAAAACAATATTATAACAAATAAAATATTGAGTATATATTTTTATTTATTATTAAGATCAATAAAAAATAAAAAACCGGGCAAGTGGGTGTCACTCTCATTGGCGCAACTAGGGAGGGGGCCCCTGTGCAAAAGGGTCTTTAGCACCCCCAAACTCTAATTTAACACCCCTTGTTTTTTTAGGTCTAACTACCATTATTACATTGAAATACCATAAATTGTATATTTTTAAAATATGAAGTATTATAGCACCCTACGTTTTAGAGGTCTAGTTGCGCCAAAGGTAACTCTGCTATACAGCAGGTTTCAAGTGGATCACTGTAATGGATGGTGTTAAATTTGAATTTAATGATATAATATCATTGTAGTATTGTACACTTAAAAAGATTCTGAGTGGAGATGGTTTGTCAGCCTACCTAGAATATTTTATATTATATGCATATTGTTACCCCGGTACCCGGGTAAGTTGAATTATTATTTATTACTATTTGCTTACACATTGTTGAGACATGGAGATGAATTGCATAGTTTAATAATTGAAGGAATGATAGAAGGAACAAGATCAAGATGAAGACCTAGGACGAGATACATTAGTCAAATAATGCAGGATGCAGGAGTCACTTCCTACAGGGAGCTCAAAAATATGGCGAATGATAGAGAAAAATAGAGAAGTAAATATTGTGAAAATTTGTTGAAAACCAATCTTCGGATTGATAAACCAAAAAAGAAAAGATAATAATAAATATACTTTAGATGCTTGAAGTACCCACAAATAATATTTAAAAATAATACACAAAACTAAAATCGTTCTTCTTTGTATCTAATTTCGTTCTAATTGAACATAAAATAACTATAATTTATAAAAAAAAACTTGAGTATTTTTTTTTTTTTAATATTTTGATTGCAAAATAACTTGCTTACTTGAAACCTTATATTAAATTTTCAAGCACACATTTTCAACACTACAAAGAAAAAATGTATTGACATTTATGGAAAACAAAACTAAAAAAAAAGTGGGCAAATGGGTGTCTTTCTGCGGGTGGGGGTTATCTGGCCTAAAATCTAGTGACCGAAAGTCTAGTGATCGAAAAGGTATCTGGTCGAACACTTTTTTGATCGAAAAATATAATATCGAAAATGCAAATGATCGAAAAATATATTAAAAATATATATTTTGTGTTAATTATTTAAAAAAAAAAAACATAAATTATAATATAAAATTAATTTAAGTAGGTATTATAATGTAGAAAAAAGTTGTTATAAAATATTAAAATAATTGGTAGTTCTAGATACTAGTATAACTTATAAGTATTAGTAAATAATATAATATAATGAGTAATTAAAACTTTAAATTTTGAGCTATTCCTCCATGGATACTAGGTACAATATCAATATTCATATTTATATATAATAAAAAAAAATTAACTGTTGTTGCAAAAATATGTATAAAATACCAAAGTATATTGAACAGATGATAAACATTAAACACTATTTTTAGGTACACCGACACACTGCACCGTACACGTTGAACTGCAGTCGTTACACACTAAGTACCTACTATATGATATACCTTCATATGGGCTAGGTACATCTATAAAAATACTAGATAAAGTAATCGAAAAGATAATCATTATCTTTACTTCGACCAAAAAACCCATTCGACCACAAAATATTTCGACTATATTAATAAAATATTCGATCATCGGTTTTTCGACCAAAAAAAGATTCGATCACATGACATTTCGATCGCTTTTTTTCGATCACTAAACCTTCGACCAAATGACTCGCACCGCTTTCTGCCGTATGCCTGTATAGTAGGTTACAGGTGGGTCACTGCAATGGATGGTGTTAAATTAGAATTCAATGATATAATATCATAAGGAAAACGATTCTGTTTTCTTAATTGTAATGTTCTAAATTACAATTGATCTGTTATAAAAAAAAACATTTTAAGTATAACACAGCACAACCGAACGAAAAAAAAAGAAGTTTGAAATTCCATTAAGGCGGGTCTTGGGAACTGGACCTTAAAAACATTGGAAACTAAGAATGTCCATAAACAGCTCAAGTCAAAATATTTTGAAAATTGTATTTTGTATAGAAAATGCTAATAAACGTTCAGTGAAAATTTCATGTAGGTACCTACATTTATTTGT